AGTGGATTTGATTTTTGTTATCTTCAACGGCTTAAAAGAAAGAAGGTTGCTTTGCTTTGCTTTATGATCAATCCTTTAGAGGAAGATAGTGTAATGGGATGATAAATGCTTTTCTTTAAGCAGATTTTCTTCACTCTGTTTTGTTTACCTTTTCTTGGATTTGGAAAATCTAATTTATGATTATAAGGTAATTTAATTGATGAAGCATCACAACTGTAATAAACAAGGTACTAGTGGGGTTATTTAACTAACAAATGTGGAGCGAAGATAATTTTGTTATTTAGGTCACTGTCCCAACTCAATATCAAATAACAGAAATATTTGCTTAGAGAATAAGAGGATAAAAACGGCAGATCTTTTGGATAACTAAAAAGAATTGTTGATGGGTCGTTTAAAACGATTTTCAAACGATTGTTGATGGGTCGTTTAATAACTGGAAACTACAGTTGCAGTTTGGTTTAATAACTGGAAACGTGAAACATAAAAGTGGCATTTCTCAAAATTCTAAATGGTGCTGGCTGAGTAAGTCTCCAAAATTATTTTATCTTTGCATATATACAGTCCACCTCTCGTAAAAGTCCTAACAACAGTGATTGTCAAATGACTCAAATTGCGATTAAAATTAAAAATTAATTGTTTGCAGAAATTAGTCTAGATTCATTTACCTAATAGCAACGTTACAATGTTATATTTTACATTTACACGACGTCTACGTTGCATTATTTGTCCTATAATAAACCAACCCCAACCACACCACAAAATCATCGATATCTCCAAAAGCCCCACTAAGAGAACCACCATGGGAGGACTCGACGAAGCTTTTATCCAAGCTCCTGAACACAGATCCAACACAAAACTCACTAACTCGGGCGATTTCATCCTCTCGGACGAGATCCCGACCATCGACCTCTCTTCCTGTCGTGACAAAACAACCATCGCGACAGAGATCGCAGAGGCATGCGAGAGATGGGGATTTTTTTTCAGGTGATCAACCACGGTTTACCGTCGGATCTAAGGCGTCGTGTGGAGAAAACAGCGGCGGATTTTTTCAATTTAACGGCGGAGGAAAAGAGAAGAGTGAAAAGAGACGAAGTGAATCCTATGGGTTATCACGACGAAGAACATACAAAGAACGTTCTTTTTGTTTCCTCTTACTCATGTCCTAATAAATGATTTGTAATTTTTTGTTGATGTTTCTTTTCTTCCCTACTAAACTAGAGAAATACAATTTCTTTCTCATGTTGCTAGTGGAATTTTATTACCAAATATATCTGCATTATCTTCGAATAAAAAAACTCGTATCTTTTGGAAATTCTATCATTTGTTTTGTAGATTTTACACATTTTTTCTATTTACAAATGATTTGCTAAGAAATATTAACATACATAGTTGTTAAAATTGCACCTGCAAAGAGGGTTAAGTAGAAGAGAACCGGTGGATGAATATGTTTCAATTGGCACCTTCCATACAAAACTCCAAAAGAATTCTGATCCCTCTCGAGTCTCGTCTAACTTGCACCTGCCCCAGCTATAATAAACACAACTTCTTCTTCGTTTGTATCGCTTTTTAAAATTGGATTCACTCTTCGGTTCACTATTACTTCTGGCGACTTTTCTATCTCCACTCTCACCGTTAAACAGCCGATCCGCCGGAATTCTCCGCTCCATGGCAACCACGGTCGCTGGACCTAGACTCGGTTCCTTGAAAGTCGCCGGTAAGCTCCATGGTTACCGTGTGATCTCTCAGGTCCGGCAATGGGCTCCGCTTCACTCTGCGATGCCTCATCTCGGAATGCTGCGAGGTGGTTCGCGACAGCCATTTGCATCATCTGGTATTACTCCTCTTAGATTTGAATTGATCTCTCCCTTAGATTTGATCTCCCTTCTCATTAGATTCTTTTGTGGAACCTAGTTGTGAAAGCTCAAGCGACCACTGCTGAGCAATCAACACTCGAAGCTGCTCCAAAAGTGGAATCTCCAGTGGTCGTTGTGACTGGTGCCTCTAGAGGGATTGGTAAAGCAATTGCTCTATCCTTGGGGAAAGCAGGCTGTAAGGTTAGCTCTAACGCCACATCGCATCTTGGATCCATTTTGGATGTCTTTGTTTCATGTCATACTTGTTGGATTCGCATTCAGCTRAGGATTGCTTCCAGTTTTTACATCAACATATTTCTCTCTGTAGTTGGTATCCACAAGTCTTAGTTGTTTGTCRCGTTGGGATTGGGTTATAGTGCTTTAGTTCTACTGGAAGTATAACACTTGAGGTACGGTCTAATCGCAGCTGATCTAATTGTGTTTCTGCTGCAGGTCTTGGTGAATTATGCTAGGTCATCAAAGGAGGCTGAAGAAGTTTCTCAACAGGTGATTGATTGATGCCCTGAATTAGAGTACAATTTTCATT